ATTATAAAACCCATAATATCAACTAAAGCAAAGTTTGGGTTAGGTGTTCAGGGGAAAGTTAAAGGTCAAAAAAACTACCAGCAATCTTTAAAAAAAAGCAAAGATGAAGAATTAAAATGGACTCACGAAAAGATTTCAGAAAAAAAAAAGTTATTGCATATGGGATTGATGAAATATGGGCTGCTGATTTAGTTGACATACAAGCATTTTCTAAATGCAATGAAAAGATAAAATACTTATTGATGGTGATAGATTTTCAAAGTATGGATGGATTGTTCCATTGAAAAGTAAAACTGGAGTTGAGGTTGCTGATGCTTTAAATAAAATCTTTAAAAAGAGAAAGTGTATAAAATTGTGGGTAGATAAAGGCTTGGAATTTTATAATAAACATGTTAAAGCGTTAAGTGTTCAGCTCTATTCGACTGAAAAAGAAGAGAAAAGTTGCGTAGTGGAACGTTGGAATAGGACAATGAATTTCAGCTAATTCTACTAGAAAATACATTGATGCTTTAGATGAAATGGTAAATAAATTCAACAACACAAAGAATTGTTCAATTAAAATGACTCCAATTGAAGCTAGCAATAAAAAGAATGAGAACATTGTTTGGCTGAATCTAAATAAAAATGTACGATCTGAACCAGTTAAACCAAAGATTTCAATTGGTGATAAAGTTAGGATAACTAAAAAGAAATTAGCATTTGAAAAAGTATACACACCAAGATGGACTGAGGAGGTATTTACTGTGTCACAGATTCAGTTCACAGATCTTCCAACATATAAAATAGCTGATGATAATGGTAAAGAAATACAAGGTACTTTTTATGAACAAGAACTGCAAAAAACAAATCAAGAGATATTTAGAATTGAAAAGGTTATTCGTAAACGTGGAAACAAATCGTTAGTAAAGTGGTATGAATATCCTGAGACTTTTGACTCATGGGTTGACAATAAAGAACTGATAAAATTATAAAAAAATTGAATTTATAATTTTCATATTTGAAAATATGAAACAATCAGTTCTTATAATTATGATGAAATTATAAGATTTTTCTTGTTATGATATACCTAATTTAAAAACTTTTTATCACTTTTCACAAGGGTGTTCTAGAAATTATGGTTGCAATGTACCTAATATAAAAAGTGACAACTTTTTATGACTTTTCACAAGAATGTCTCAGAAATTATCGTTATGTTATAAACTGAAAAGAGATGAGACAGAAACCAACCATAACATAAAGTTTAAAATAAGATATTAAAAAATACAAAGTTATGGTATGGCTATTGGTTGATTTCTAGGATAAAATATTTGTCCCAGAAATTTTAGTAAGATTATTATCAGAATTTATGGCTATTAATTTATTAATTTTATTTTATTAATTGGTTAAAAAATATTTTGTGCCAAAATCGGCATTTTCCTACTACTTCTGAAGCACAATTATGGAAAGGTACAACAATGTGAACGAAACTTTTCAAGTCGTTAAAATCGATTTAAGAGTGTTGAATAAGCTGTATAACTCAATATCTTTTTTTTTTTTTGCACAAAAATTTAGAAGTTTTGAAAAATTTTGAAAAATTTTTTTTTTTGAAATAATAACTATGATGTTGGTAAACATCGGCAAGTGCTTTGCTAACCATAAACTAAAAAAGAGCGGGCAAATGCCAATATGGCAAATTGACTTTAATTGTGGCATCAGACTTCACTGGAAGAAGAAAAATGATTGCTGAGAATAATGTGATTGAGTATTGACTTTTAGATTACTTTGAATGTGTGTTGACGTTAAACTTGAAAGGCAAAGATAAACTTATGTTCTACTTCTTTCTCGCTTTTAAGATCTATGGATTCTTTTGAAACGACATTGCACAAAATAAAGAACTTTTATGAATACTACTTTTATAATTGAACAATCCAAAAATTTATTTTCCAAATAAATGTCTGCATTTCAAGAATTTTGTTCCCACTTTGATTGTTATCGGTACCAATAAAACCAGATAACCAAATCATATGGACTTACTTCTGGTCATTTGATCAAAAAAACTTGAATCCACATTCTCTAACATCAATGTTGTTCTTGTGATGTTTCTCTCAGCAGCATTAAAATATTATTGGAGGGAGGTCCTTTTTAACTTTAAAAAGAGTAAAAATTTTCTACAGGTCTAATAGTAGAGAGAAACACCTGCACACTCTAGTTGTTCTTCAAGTTGAAAGTGGTCTTTTAAAAAAAATAAACGTGAAAGTTATGATTGATCATTTCGCTGATTTATAAAGACGCCACAAGATATCAAAATTATTTACCTACCTAATAATGTAATATAAATAACATAAATGATAAACATAATAATATAACATAAATGAAAACAATAAAACCTTTAGAAATGTCTATGTTTCGTTTTACTCCCAATAAATTGTTTTAAATATTTTTAAAATACAAAGCTGATTATCTTTGGCTTACTCTTTGGATTCGCTTATTTTAACTATTTATTAGATTTTAAGTTATTTAGGTTGTTTTTGGATGTAATACATTAATATTTTGTAAGTAAGTCATATAAATATAACCGTGTTGAAGTACAAGGGGCTTTTTTAGAACAGATTAGGGAAGGGGAGAATTATGCCAAGAAAATGAAATAATGTACATTAGCGCATTAAATTAGAGTTTAAAAAAGAGTTTTAGTACTAAAATTTCCCACATATGTGGGAAATTTTAGTACTAAAACTCTTTATTTTTTTTATAAAAAGCTAGTAATAGCTCCACCTAGTTTTTGAAAAAGACATTTTTTTAAAAAAAGTGTGTTAATAATTAAAAAATAAATGAAAAGCAAAATTTATTAAAGTGTATTTATTAAAATTGTGTATAATTGGTTATTCTGACCCCTTCAACAAAACAGCTTGTTCATACTCGCAGCGGTACTTGTTTCATTTGTTTCCTGGTGCTTTTAATGATCAAAGCGTTGATAACAAACGACCCGCGCTTAATTTAATCAATATAAAAGAAATATATCGGAATTTAATAACGTTTGGATATTAACTACAAAGTTAAGCATGTTATTACAATTAAACCTGAAGAAGTATTGTTTTTTAAAATAATATTAATTTTGGAATATGCTAAGGTTGCATATCCAGGTAGCCGAATTTGCACGTCCTTGCTGAAAGTAATTATTCGAGGCACAATATGCAAAAAGATGAAAATGGAGTTATTTCCAGAGTTGAATAGAGAAAAAAGAAAATGCTTTAAAATCGAAAAAAAATCATGTTGTTATCTTCATAAATGGCGGAGTTGTAGATATTTTAGATGAAATGTTTTTATAAAAAACTAGAAAAAGTTTAATAAAATTTTTATTAGTGTTCTTAGTGATGTAAGTAAGTTGAAAAATTTTTTTCCTGTCAACTTCATAATGTTTGACTATCAGTTGTTTTTCTTTTGTTATTTCAACTTCTGCAAAGGTTCTTCACTTTGAGGTATTGGGCAAACTACATCCTGACCATATTTAGGAACCTATTGCCTGATTTTGTCAATAAAATACATTTGTCTCATTATCTGAGTCAGCAGCTATATTCTTCATACATTTAGTAAAGCAGTCAGCTATTAAATATTATTATTTTTTTAAGATATTTGATAAAAATAATTACAAAAATGATAGAATTTCATCTTTCTGTATCATGGATACTTGGGATGATTCTAAGTATTATTCTTTCAGCCAAAATTTACTACTATTAAAAATTACTTATAAATTTTATTAAAAATTTGAAAATATTTTTATTTAAAAAAATCTAAATGATTGTTAAATTAACAAAGTTATAAAATTAGATCCTCAAATTTTACAAATAGGAAGATTTTCAATGTTGTACAAATTCCTAATACCTATACTGTAATTTTAGAAAACACTTAACACACATCAAGTCAAAATAATTTTTTTTTTCAACTTATCTATAAGTTGATTATTGATACAAAATTTATTGAAAATAATTTATTGTTTTAATGAAGACTTTATTAAATTCATAAATGAATTATTTTCATTGAGTTGCTCACTATTTCTAATAAGTCGCTTCTGTTTTTGATCATTATCTCCAAAACTAGTGATTTTAAACCTATTGGTCTATGTTTTGTTATATATATATATATATATATAACAAATATTTGTTATATATATATATATATATATATATATATATATATATATATATATATATATATATATATATATATATATATATATATATATATATATATATATATATATATATATATATATGCACTCACATCATATTCTTTTGTTCTAAAACAAGTTTAATATAAATATATCAAAATGATTATCTGCATTATAAGTCTTCAAATAGAAAAAAATTTTAAATCAAAATCTAAGTTTAATCTATTATAAAATATAAAGTTCTATTTTTTTTTTACTTGTTTGTTCAAGGCCATGAATTAGCTTTATATGGCAGACTTTAAGACTTATGTATACTGTAGACTTGTTGAGTTTATAGTAGATAAAACCATGTAGACACATTTTTCTAGTTTAAAGAAAAAAGAGACAGCTCATTAATATTTATGTATATTGATGTTGTGTAACATATTTGAATGGCTTTTTACATTTTCAAATTATTTATTTATTACTCTTAATATCATTGATAACTATTGGTCAGCTCACTTATAGTTTTCTGTTGGTTACTTATAATTGCTAAATATGTTTTTAAATGTAACATTTAATTTAAAATTTGAAAACATTTTTTTTTGTATACAAGGAAAATATTTAATAGCACAGAAATCAAATATTAGAAATTTGTGATTATACTGTGTGTCTATATATATAAATGTTTATGTGTGTGTGTGTGTGTGTGTGTGTTTATATATATATATATATATATATATATATATATATATATATATATATATATATATATATATATATATATATATATATATATATATAATATATATATATATATATATATATATATATATATATATATATATATATATATATATATATATATATATATATATATATGTATATATTAGACATGAACAAAATAAATAAAAACACGATTTTAGCATAACAATGTCAACTCCCTCTGATGATACATCTGTTCAAGTTGCTCTTCGGTAAGTAATAGTATTATAATTTTTTAAATTTATTTTATGTTTAATTTTAAAAAAACCTTGTTTTGCGTAGAAAAAAAAAGTTGAAGTTATAAGACATTTTAAAGTTTAAACATATAAAGGTTTTTTAACATCTAGCAAAACAGTGCTCCTTACTGCTTATTAAAGTTATAAAAATACAAAAATTCCCCTGAAACATGTTTTAATCTAAAGAATTTGAAAAATTATTATTATTATTGTTATTATTATTATTATTTATAAGGTTTACAAATTGGATTTGTATAGGCATGAATGACTACTTGTAAGGTGAAAAAGTTTTGACAAGAAGCTAGACAAGAATAAGGCTTTTATAGTTTAAATGAATGTCCTTGTGTAATAGAAGTTATAATTGTTTTTGGAATATTGTTTGACAGTTGTAGCAATTGTTTAGCCATTTATAGACATTTATTAAATCTCCCCAGATTAGTCTGTATCTTATTGTTGTCATATAATAATTGTTTATACTCTTTGGTGGCATGTAAGACTTTGTAAACCATAGGCTAATTTAGATCCTTTTCCTAATATTTTTTCCACTTGTCATTTTTCTTTAAGTAGACGAGGGTTATATACAGATCCACAATATTCTAAATATGGTCAAACTAGTGCAGAAAATAGTCTTTAAAAAAAAAAATTTAGATGAGAGAAGGATCTTTTTATTAGAAATAATATTCGCTTTGCTTTATTAACTTGTAGAGGTATGTTTCGAGAATAGTAGTTTATTATCAATATTTACATGGAGGTCAGTTTCTGAGTTAATAGATTTTTTTTTTATTTTTTATTTGCATTCACTCCCAACAAGGCTGCAAGCAACCACTATTAAGTTGGGAGTTACTAGGAGAAAAAAAAGAACAGAGTTATAGAGCAAGGAAACGGTTGACAGAAGACTTGAAAAGTTGAAGGTTGTATGAGTCAGGAAAACATGAAGATGGGAGAGAGTTCCAAAGGATTGAAGTGCGGGGAAAAAAACTAGATAAATAAAAGTTTTTAGAGCATGCAGGGACAGATACAGTAAACGAATGAGACTTAGCTGAATGACGAGTAAAACGAGAATGAATTTTAGTTGATGGAACTAGAGATGATAACTCCTTTGAGCAGTGACCATGATAGTATCTGTAGAAAAGAGAAAGAGATGCAACTTTACGACGATGGGAAAGAGGTTCAAGCTTAGCAGATAGTCCAGGTCCAACAACATTTACAATGCGTTTTTGGACCTTGTCAAGAAGAGAAAGTGAATCGCTAGAAGAACCAGCCCAAATATGACAACAGTATTCCATACAGGGACGAATAAGAGATTTGTAGAGGTAGAGAATGGAATCAGAAGTAAGGAAATGGCGAGCACAATAAAGAGAAGCAACCTTAGCAGAAGCTAATTTAGCAATCGATTGTATATATGGTTTCCATGTAAGGTCAGTAGTAAGCGATAATCCAAGAAGACGTAAAGAGGAGGACTCAGTAAGAGGATTGCCATTCATTAATATAGGAATGTTGACCATATTACGGTAGTTGTTTGCAGTAAGCAATTGGGTTTTTTTAGAGTTGAAATTCACAAGCCACTGTGAAACCCAATCTATTACTGAAGTGAGATCAGATTCAAGATCAGCTGCTTGTTCTAGGCGATCGAAAAGAGAGCTTTTTGTCAAGACAGGAGTATAAAGTATCAGCAAAAAGAGCTACTTTAGATGAAAGGTTGTCAGGAAGATCGTTTATGAAGATAAGAAACAAAACAGGGCCCAGGATGGAAACTTGGGGAACCCCAGAAGTTACTGGAAATAAAGAAGAGTGTTAACCTTCAAGGATGACTTTAATAAACCGGTTAGAAAGAAATGATTTGATAATCTCAAGAACTTTCCCAGAAACACCATATAAACCAAGCTTATGGAGATTTGATGTCATTCCTTGTTTTTTTCACTGGATCGTACATAGAATATACATGATGTTTGTTTATCCTAGTGTATCCTAGGTGTAGAACTGAACATTTTTTTACTTTACATTTCAAACCCTATTTAGTTGCCCAGTCAACCAAGATATCAATATCATTTTGAAGTACATTGTGTGAATACAAATTTGGAAGAAGGTTAAAAATATTTGTATTGTCAGCAAAAGTGCTGCTTTTGAAGTAATTAAATTAGGAATATCATTAACATATATAATAAATAATAGAGTTGAGAGAACAGAACTTTGGGGAACTCCACTTTTTACTGGTACCCAATCAAAGTAATTACCATATATCATTACTCTTTGCCTTTGATTTGTGAAAATGTTTCTTATCCAATAGAAAATCAGACCATTAATTCCATAGGCTTTAATGTTTCAAAAAAATATACTCATGTGGGACTTTGTCGAATGCTTTTTTAAAGTCATAGTAAACATTATCGACGAGGAGACCTTTATCTAAATTAAGTGTCCATGTATTGAGAACCTTTATCTAAATTAAGTGTCCATTATGATTGATTATAAGAAGATT